CCCCACACCCCACACCCCCCCACGATTCGGTAAAAATAGCGTCATCCCTGGAAAGTGAAGGCAAAAAGCGACACCGATACCTTTCAGCTAAGGCAGGTGTGGCAGCTTCTGTGGATCCTACGGGTTTAAGCGCACAGGAAACATCTCGTCATTATGAGATTACTGGAGCAGCCCTGTAGGTATTCACTGTCAAAGAGCTGTCACGGGAGAAAAGCGCAGCCAGGAAAGACATAAAAACAGGAGGAGAGACAAACTCCAGTCTGTGACCAGTTGCTTCCAGGTACATTCCTGAGTGCAGCTGCAGGAAGGCAAGCTTGTGTCTTCTCTGCGAGGCCGGCAGGAGAGCAGCCCCCCGGCTCAGCCTGCAGATTTACAGTCCCTCTGACTGCCCACCCTGAGACACGGGGGACAGGGTGAAGCAATCTGAACTCGGTGTCTCCGTTCAGAACTTGCTTCCAAAAATCCGAGTAGAAACAGAAGCAGCCTGTAGCTGCGATATGTAGATGTGCCTTCAAAGCCTTTTATGATTCACTCGAAAATGTTTCTAGTAATTACTTCTATTTTAAAGGCGTTAGTTAATTGCATTGTGTGTAGAATCTGCGCCGTAATTGTCCTTCAGAAAGAGGGAGAGCACAGCCAGTAAAGATTGCTTATTAAAATTAAGCGCACTGTGGGCGTTTATTTCAAAGCGTAATTACTGAAATAAACAGTTGTGTTTATTGCAGGGTGCAGAGCTGCACATACAGACGGGTACAAACACGCCTGCATGAGAAGCTCTGCATGTTGATTCTGTGTCAGTTGCCCGAGAGAATTTGCAGGATCCTCTACGTTACATAGAATATAAAGACTGCCACAGACACAAAGGTGGCGTTACCCTGCGGGCAAAACGACCACTCTGAAATCGTTACTGCTAATCAATCAAACTTCATATGCAGAACGCCTTTCCCTGGTAACTTTGGCTGTTCTCACTTCTGCAGTATCGGTGTTCAGAGCAGTCGTGCTCACGGGAGACTCAGTCCACCGTAACCACGGAATAAGAAGACACACAGTATTTGAAATTCATTTAAAAGCACACAGACAGTTCCCAAAGGACTATTTTCCCCCTTGCTAATGATCCAACATAATTGTTGTAAACATCACAAAGCAGATTCCCTAGACTGAGAAAAAGCAGGAAACATTTCTTCCCTTGGGGCATTTTTTCTCTCCTAAAAGGTATGTCCCTGAGAAAAAGCACAGAGAATAAAATTGCCTTTTCTACCCCAACTGCCAAAGTGCGTATCATTAGGATTTCTTTATGCTGTGGTAATACCCAGAGATACCATCAGCGCTTGAGGCCCTCGTGTTGGGGGACACAAGAGTAAAGAGATGTCCTGTGAAGATTGCAGCCTACTTTAACTTCCGCAAAACACAGCCTGTTAATGTGAAAATGACTGCTTAAGGAAATCTCTCCATCCTGAATCTCAGTGTTTATTATTCTGTGCATTTTGCAGATCGTGTCCAAGTGGGCTGTCGGGAACTGAGATCCACCAAGTACATTTCAGATGGCCAGTGCACCAGCATCAATCCCCTGAAGGAGCTGGTGTGTGCTGGTGAATGCCTGCCTTTGCCGCTGCTCCCCAACTGGATTGGAGGAGGTTACGGAACCAAGTACTGGAGCAGGCGGAGCTCGCAAGAGTGGAGGTGTGTCAACGACAAAACTCGCACCCAGAGGATCCAGCTTCAGTGCCAGGATGGCAGTATAAGAACCTACAAAATAACTGTGGTCACGGCCTGCAAGTGCAAGCGATACACCAGGCAGCACAATGAGTCCAGCCACAACTTTGAGGGAACCTCTCAAGCAAAGCCTATCCAGCATCACAAAGAGAGGAAAAGAGCCAGTAAATCCAGCAAACACAGTACAAGTTAGAAGTCAGACATTCTCTCCTCTCTCACCTCCCTCTCCTCGTGCCAAAATTGAACTCACCTGTAACCATTTGCTTTACCGTTCTGACTGCTTAAAGACAAGTCTGCCATTGCTGTGTTCTCCGGTGACACGACGTGCTTACTGCTTTGACCAAAATCAAAAAGGGGCATTCTCAGCACATGGACCTTTCGAGTGATTTTCCAAATGCTCAAGATGGGGAATAACACAAGCCTTCCAAACCCACACTATAAACTTTTACATTTTCCCCAGCCGTGGAGGCAAAGAACATTTGCCGTGAATATTCACTGAAGTCTATTTTGTAAAAAGGTGCTTTGTTGTGTGTTTTCATGAGAACAGTTATCCCGTCTATTGCCTTCTATATCATGTTTTATGAACTTCTGACAACAGCTTAAAAATACAACACTTGGTATCCGCTTTCAGATTCATTCTAAGAAAATAATTGCCTTGCATGCTGACCTTTCTCTTATCTCAGTATACCGAAAATTAAAATATGCATGGCAGCAATCAAAAAGTAAAGCTGAACAAACTATTTATTTGTTGTTGTAATTATTTAATGAGCTTTTATGTGTGTTATTTCCCTCCAAAATGTTCTTATGTTTATAGCTTTTCTCATGTATCAAAGTATTTTCCTATGATTTGTGGCTGGATTAAAACATTCACTTTGTAGATAATGTAAAATAGACATTTTAGCATTCTTGGTATATATATTTTCATTTTGAACGTTCATAGACATAGGTGTTATTTTGAAGTAGTGACATAAAAATTGTTTTTTTCATTCTCCACTCTGTATTATTTTTGTTTAAAAGTGTGCAATCAAAAGACAGAAATGATGACTTCCTTTCAAATACATTGTTGGTTTTTTTTTTTTTACAAAAATAAACAATGCTAAAAACCTGTCTCGTCTGGCTCTATGTATGAAAACACACACATTTTAATCAGTCACAACACTCAGACTTAAAAACTGGGAGAACATTACTTGGTTAAAATAAAATCTATCCATGTTATTTAACATTAACCCAATCTTTCTGTGGAGTCTTTTTGGATGTAAAAATCTTATATGGCCATTTAACAGATGGTGCTTATTAATGGTCCAAGTCAGGTTCTATTTGGTAGTTCTCAAGTTGTACTTCGCAGCAGAAGTGTATATTTGGGAAGTTTTACAAGCTAGTCAGACAGCACCATTTTGTTGTTTCACTAGTGATGCTCGAGTCAAAGACTAACGGTAAGATATAGAGAGCCAGGAGAGCCCTGCACATTATCCACCAACTCTTACAGAGTGTATCAGGAAATCCATAGTAAGTAATCTGCCTTTCAGCACACAGCCCATGAATCACCTGTTCTTAACCTTTCAATTATATATTGGATATATACTGGATATATATACTGGATATATATACTTTTTTTTTTCGGGCGAGATTTCATCATGGGATTCTGCTGTGCTCAAATGATTAACTTTTACAACCCGTTTGCACCCCAAGACAAGATTACACAAGAAGAGAGCAGTGAAGAGTCTTGCCTGATAAGGTCTCACACAAGCTCTCTTTGACCTCTTTTTATCTCATTCCATTTTGCATTTTAATTCCAAAAGATTCAGCATGAAGTTCTTGGCAGAGATCTTCCTTGGTCGTTAGTGCAGAACTGTTTGAAACTTGCTGCTACTGCTTGACTTACTGAATCCTAAACTTTATCGACAAAATGTAATGATTTTTCCTCAAAGCTACTTTCAAGAATTCTCTTTAAACTCTGGTATATGTAAGAAAGATATATACTTACTTTCTTCTTTTTTTTTTTTTTTTTTTTTTCAATTTTAAGTGATCTACATGGTGGCACAGTTAAAAACCTTAGCATTAATGACCTAGTTGTTTCAAGTTTAGTTCTGTGATCATGAAAATATCAGAAGGATGAGATCAGAGACCATTTATACTTAAATTCTCTGTTCACAAAGCTGCTTCTTTTAAGCCTAAGAGGATAGATGATGAATAAAGGAGTTAGCAGGGAGAGAGGTGACATGATGTTGCTCCTAGGCATATCAGTTTAGTGGACCTACAGATATCCTAGTTTTATTTTAACAGACATTACCATCTCATTCAATCCATTTTATGAGGGAAAGATTATTCCCAAATGCCAAACATCCATCCATTTTTATTGTTCTCCAGCTACTTCTTCAAGATGATAAAGTATAAAAGATTGAGATAATGGACCAAAATTTAATCAAAATTATTTTCAAAGCCAATAGTCGCTACACATCAGTAAAGTTGCCCTGCCTGGTCTGCATTTGACTCCCAGAAACACTAACCGTGCAAAACCCACACCTCTTGCTCATGACTCTTCTACAGTCAGTGAAGTCTGATGGAGAGAACATTTAATAAGAGTTTGCATTTAGCAATAGAGGTAACAACTTGTAGTTTGTTTTTTCACACAGAACTACCTGAAGGGGATTAATTGCAACGCTTCCACTAAGATGACCTCATGAAATTTTGCTGGACATGCTACAGAAAGGCCAGGGGCTCGTACCAGTCTTGCATATTTGAGGGAACATGAAGGAAGCCAGTAGGAGCTTTGTCCATCAGCAGTGACTTAGCTCTGAAGCGCCACCTGAGTCAGCAATGGTCTCTCTGGCCTTTTGGGGGGCAGATCTGCAGGAAAGCAGTGTTAGAAATACGTTAATCTTGAATTTTCTTAAGGAATGATGTTACTCTTTGTGACTTATCTTCTAGTTCTGGATGCTTCAACCTGGCCTATACAATCTGCTTTCTGTTTCATCCCGTGAACTCACAGGGGTCTACCCGAGGATCCAGACAAAAGGCATTATACGAGTACATCCGACTAGTTTTTTCTATAGGGGGAGTGTCCAACAGCCACAGCTGCAGTGGGTAGGATATGGTATCTACAGCGGAGAATCTTGCCAAAGTTTTTCAAAGATTCAATGAAAGAAGTAGGACTGCTTAAACTGAAATAATTTCAAATAGAATACATCTTCTTATGTTCTGTCAGAGTTTAAAAGGAAAGACAAACATGCTAGAATTTTCTTAGTTTTCACCTGAAATATTAAGCCAAATAGATACAAGAAGTATGTAAATATTGTGGAAAAGTACACGTATGTAGAAAAATGTAGAAGAAGATCAGATAAGTTTTTACACAAATTAGACCACTAAACAGTCTAGATTTATTACACTAAGAATACATAGAAGTTGGCTTTCTCAATAATATCCTATCGTATGGGCAGATCACTAAGTCCAGGGGCTTCTTAAAAAGCATTTCAAGCATCTTAAAAAGAATCTAAAAATCTCGTAAGTTCCCATTCTTTCTTCTTTAGAAAACTAAAAGTGAATAAATTAGAAATAATCTGTTAATCTGCCATCATTATTTCATTACTTTCGAGTTGATGAAAACTTCCCCCAGCGAAGGGGTAAATTGTTTTATAATGAATGGAAATCAATTTTCCTTAGACATCACTAGAAACTTAGCCAGCTGCTGACTGTTTTGATAGCATGGTAGCTCTCAGAGGCACGCTTTGTAGGGGCAGAGGTAGACAGCACGTGTCATTAAGATATTATCATCTGTGGAAGTCAGAGGGGCCTGACACTCGCAGCCTAGGCTAGAAAGGCCCTTGAGAAGTTTATTTATTCATTTTTTTAGTAATAGTAACAAATCTGTTGCTTCCTCCTTTCTGGCAGCCTTGGAATCGAAACCACCCAATCCAAGTTCAGTCATTTGTTTGGAAATAAAGCAGACATTTGGATAACACCCTTCAACATACCTAACAGATTTCTGCTAGTAAATCACTGTAGTCCTCCTAACCTTGACCTTTATATCCTTCCTGAAGAAGTACAACATTAATCAAGGAAGGACTGTTCAACACATTCCACCGTGAGAGTCTTGTTGCTACAGTATTAACCTGGAGGTGTTCAGTAGAAAATTAGAAGGAATCCTTAGTGTTGGAAGGTATCCTATTCTCATGATGCATTTCCTTTCCCGTAGGCCAGGCAAGGGGCTTTGATTTTAAGTTCATTGACATACATATAAACATCACCCCAGGCTAAAACCGAAAATTCTCTAGAGATTTATGAGTTAAGCAGACATTCTGTCACGGGATTTGTTAGTTTTGCCTGAACATCGCCCCCACAACAAAAAGCCTGCCCATGCATCTTTCTGAAAGACATCCAGCCTTTCAGCTCACTCATCATGTGAGTTATGTGGACTGACACACTAAAAAAAGTGCGATTTACAAGTGATATTGCCTACCACCGAGTTAATATTCAAACATCTACCTTCCTCAGTACTTCCATGACAAGAAAATACTCTTCATCCTTAATTAATGCTCATCAAACTACACACCATGAAAATAACTAGTCTCTACTAATTGCTGAGAAAAATCTCAACAAACACGGGACTTTAACTCCAGCTTGGGAGTTTGTTTTTTCTTAACTCACTTTGGTTTGGCAACATATTATAGTGAACGAGGCCGTGCTACATTACCTAGCTGGAGTTCAGGTCTTCTTAATGCCTCTATGCAACCACAAAGGAATACAGAGGATGTCTTCATATAAATGAAAATCAGGACCACTGACTTTAATAGGTCTGTTTGGGGAACAGGGTACTTCATGAACGTAAAGGAAAATAAAGAAATTCAGCTCCCTGGAAAAGAGACCTAAATCAGAATACACTGCAACAAGAATCTAATTCTGTTTACTAAACCCTAAAGACAACTGCTGTCAAAAAGTGACCTTTGTTACCATCTACTTCAGTAAAAAATACTAAATCACCTAAAAATGTTTTGAACACTTGTTTATGTCTTGTCCCCGCCCTATTTTAGTAGTTGTACAATAGTGTATTATTGTCTCATTGTTTAAATGCTCAGCTGTTGTGAACTATACTTCCTACAGCACGCTTGCTTTTTGATACAGAAACACTTCAAATCTCTTTGTAGAATGACTGGATGTATCATTTTTTAATTTTGACTACGGAGAGGAAAAGTCATGCTCTGACTTGACCTAGGAGCTCCACATTCGATTTGTTTTCTTAGCCCCAGCAAGAACTGACTTAGTGAGGAAACTGCAAAAGAAACTCAGTAGAAGCATAAACCAGCCTGTGAAGTCCGATGCTTTGGTGGGCTAAAGGCGAGAGAACCAGGCACATGTGTTAAAATTCTTTTATATGAAATGGTGGGGAGGTGAGGGAGAGGGCTTCAGGAGGAAAGTACTTGCCTAGCCCTACCACAAGAACAGCCACTGAGAAATGGAGGGACGCTGCAGAGCTTTAAAACGGACTCTGCAGCACAAAGACTTTGTTTTAATTGCAGCTGAAGCAAGTTTAAACATCTGTTGCTTGTTAGATTATTATTTTATTTATTTACTTATTTATTTATTCATTTATTTTTGGGATGGGTTGAAGAAAGCTCTTTTAGATTCCCTATGGCCATTAAGTTGGGATGGAGAACAGAGGTCTGAATGTTTCTAAAATGTAAAGTTGCAAAAATTTTGGTTTTAGGAAGGATCGCTTGCTTTTTTTTTTTTTTCCCCACTGAAAAAGCCTACTGAAACTTCTGCTGTTGTACATCTTTACTGCAATTTTTAGGACAGTAGCCAGAACAGCTGATAGCAGCACTGTATCGCTGGAACAGGTTGTATTGCTGCACTGCATTTTTTGTTTCCAGGTATGGAAGTGTCCAAATCCACGTGTGTCTAGAAGAGGAGAAAGAAGAGAAAATGGATCAAAAAAAAATGGACCAAAATGACACGTGGAGGACAGCATGTGCTGCATGTTCTTCATTTTCTTCTAGTTGTCAGAACGTTTCATGAGTCTTCAAAAGACTTGCTCTCTCTGCAGGTTGCCAAGCCAAGCATTAGCCAATGCACACGCTACCCTTGGGATTCAACAGACAGCCAAGCC